AACCGGGGTGCTCCGTTTTGTTAGGCGAATACTCTCTCTGTGTGCCAACGCCGCACATGAAATTTCATTGACTAAGAGCGTACATATCATTAAATCGTTAATAGTACCCGTTAGAGATGAGTTGGGGACTAATTGATCTCCAATTATACCCATAAGGGATGAGTCGAGACTAATTGACCTCCATTAGTACCCGTATAAGACCAGTTGCGACTAATTAATGCCCAATTGTACCCGATTGAGAGTTATCTCGGAATACTCTCTTTAGAGATTAGTCGCACAATTTTTTGCAGGGTAGTGTATTTCTTTAAAACTTAATAGTTTTGTTTACTACTATGTATACGACAAAAAACAAAAATAATTTTTGGTAAATTATACTTTTATGGAAAAGTTTTTTGTGCTATCGAAGAAGAGATGCTTTTATTGGAATTCCCGAAATTTCTAAAGTTTAGTAGTGAAATACAAAAAATGTAAGAGTAGCCAATTTTTTATTTACTATTTTGCTTCATTTAGAATCTGTGAAGAAGTTTCAGATTTTCCTGCAGGAACTGTAAAAATTGTATGCATTTTCTAAGCCATATTTCTTAAGTTTCAGAAAAATTTACAAAGAGCTAAGTTGGTGGTATTGCCAAAATTAAAAAAAAAATGTACATATTAATTGTTTTAAGTGTTTTTTAGTTTTGTTATAGTGTATGAATTTTATTACATAGCGACAAACAATAACAAAAAATGTTAAGTAATAACAGTTTTTTCGCGAAAACCCTAAATTTTTTTCAAATTTTGACAAAAATAAAAACCTATATAAATAAAAAGTAGGCGAATTTTTATTTTTCAGTTGGATACTTCGTTAAGGACCTAACAATTAGAAGGAAAAATTTTAAAATTTTCTGCCGGAAATTGGAAATTTAGTATTTTTTAAAACATATTAATTTTTAATTTTACAAAGACAAAAAATATTAACTAATATATAAAAGTCTCGTGTCAAAACACAAAAAAAAATTCAAAACGGAACTACGGAGATTGATAGAAAATTTTGGCATGATATTAAGAGTTTTATCCTGCGGAGTCCCAGTTAATGCTAGAACCATTTTTTTTTTTATTTTGATTTTTTTTTTAGTTTAACCAATAAAGATATCAATTAATATTTGTGTTTTTTTCGCTCAAAGAAAATTATTATTACTCGATTTTTATTTCTTCGATCAAAAGTAATGATTATTTTATGATTTTTATTTTTTCGCTCAAAGATAATAATTATTATTGAGTTTTATTTTTTCACTTAAGAATAATGATCATTCAAAAACTCAAAAGCTACACCCACGTGATTTCCAATGTATACTTTTCAGAATTAGCCTAATAAAAGGAATGAGTCCCAAAATTTTCAAGTCAAAATTTCAGTGGGTTGCGCCTGTATGGCCTTTTAAATTTTATAGATAACCATTATTTTTAACTGGAAAAATAAAACTCAGTAATGATTATTATCTCTCAGCGAAAAAATAAAAATCATAAAATAATCATTATTTGTGGTCTAAAATATAAAGTCGACCAATAACACTATGCGACAGTCAAAATCGGGATGGGATGAAACCAACGGGAAATGTTATATCGGTCAAAAACAAGTTATACGTGTCCCGGCGTTTCGCTGGGTCACGTCTAGGAATCGAGATATATATATAACTATCATATAGGGGAAATTGTCACCTTTGGTGGTCTTTTTTTGACATAACTCGAGAACCACTAGTCCGATTTTGCTCAAACAAATTTAAAAAAATTAAAAATTACAATTCCTTTAATCTGTTCATATAACGTTTTTCTATATAATCAACAGTTTTGCCGGTAAAAATAAATGTATGAAGAAAAAAAATATTTTTTGCCTAAAATATTAAATTTTTTTAAATGTTAGAACGTTTAAGGAGATCCTAAATATTACTAGAAACTTATATTTAGTTCAATATGGCTGTATTACATGCCAAGTACGGTTCATAAGGTTTTCGTAGTTACATTGGTGTGATGTTTTGGAACACTTCAACTTGTCAAAAGGTATTGAGAAATTAGAAAATGTTTTAAGAATTTTATTATTTATTAATATTTTATTCTATTGGGTTTGTCGGAAGAAGCCTTAGGAGCCAGTCATAAAAATATAAGGAATTTGCGATTTTCCCATAGAAGAAAAACGACGAGAGATTTACCGCCTAAAGCCCAAAGTACAATAGCCCAGTGGCAGTGGCAGTGACAGTTTCTAAAATCAGCTGTTACTGCTAATATTGGCAGTCACTGCCGCAACAAACACAATACGGCGTTGTCAGTGACTGCCTTTTTAGACATTCCCCTTTGTTTGTTTACATTTTTGTTGTTGGCTTTTAGGCTTCAGTGACTGGCTGCGTTTCAAAAATGTCAAATTCAACATGCGAAATTTGCTGCGATGAAGCCAGTGGCAGTGAATTTAGAATTTGGGCTAAACTGAGCAGTACTGCTAGCTGCTACTGCTGTATTGTGAGTCGCTTCATTGGACACACTTTCTAAAAACCAGCTGATTTCGCAAAAACTGCCGCTGCCACTGCCACTGCGTTATCGTATTTCGGGCTTAAGTATCTATCTCGAACGATAGGCTGGACGAACGATTCGTCTGCAGAGCAGTGTTGCCGCGAATCATTTTAAAAAAGGGCTAAAAAAGAGCTAAGAAAAGTCGTAGTGGCTAAAAATGGTAGCTAAAATTTTTTAATTACATATACATCTATAAGTATACACGCAAACATTTTCAATAAGTAATGGTATAGAAAAACAATGAACTCTGGAAAAAGCTAATATTTTATCCAACCAAAAACCTTTTTAAATTTCTTTTGACAAACAATTAATCATTGGAATAATTTTAGATATTGTTATATATTTTTGTGACGTATTCAAAAGGCTTTAATAGCGCTGTAAGTTGACTGAGTGTTTCAATTTCTACAGACGTTGGCATATCGGGTGCTGAAATATTTTCAAGTATGATCTCAGATATAACTTTTCTCAAACGAATGAAACGCTCCAACATGAAATATACTGAGTTCCACCTTGTTTTAACATCAGAAATGAGTTTGAGAAATAAACCTTCAGGAGTTTTGTTTCGCAGTTGAATTTTTCTTAATTGGTCTGATCGCACAACACTATTTTTAATCCAGTTCACTATTACTCGAACTTTTGATATAACTATTTTAACGTCAGCTAATTTTAAAACCACTATACAATTAATCTTATATAAACATGGCAAATGCTTCTGTTCACCAATGAATATTCTAACGGCTGACAGCATGGAACTGGCATTATCTGACACTACTGACGAACTTTGCTCTGAGGTATATTCCAGTCATTAAGCGTATCCACAATTATTTCGGATATATATGCAGCCGTATGTCTTTCGTTTAGCGCACGACAAGCTAAATATAGCATACGCATCTCTCCGTTTTCAA